TTTTGAACTGTTAGAAGGCAGAACAATATTGACTTAGTACATCAATCTCCTACTTGCTGTATGAAAATCTGTTTTATTCTGGCAGACCTGTGATTGACATTGTCAGCGAATATTATGGTAAATTTTGCCTGACAGCCCACTCCCATTGTTTGTATAAATAGTGTCCAGCCACATAAGGATTCATCCCGTACAAGTGAATAATTCAGGTGTTGCAATATGCAGTTAGCTTAAACTTGTTCCATCTCCCTCTCTCATCAGTGTTTTAAAAATCAGTACCATGGGCTAATCAATGACACTATTTTTTTAAAACATTTTATTAGGGGCTCATACAACTGTTATCGCAATCCATACACATCAATTGTGTAAAGCGCATTTGTACATCATTCTCAAAACATTTTCTCTCCACTTAAACCCCCGGCATTAGGTCCTCATTTTTCCCCTCCCTCCCCGCTCCCCGCTCCCTCATGAGCCCTTGATAGTTTATAAGTTGGTATTTTGTCATATCTTGCCCTGTCCGACGTCTCCCTTCACCCCTTTTCGGTTGTCTGTCTCCCAGGGAGGAGGTCACATATAGTTCCTTGTAATCGGTTCCCTCTTTCCTACCTACTCTCCCTCTACCCTCCCTGTTTCGCCACTCACACCACTGGTCCTGTAGGGCTCATCCGACCTGGATTCCCTGTATTTTCAGTTCCTATCTGTACCAGTGTACATCCTCTGGTCTAGCCAGACTTGCAAGGTCGAATTCGAGTCATGTTAGTGGGAGCGGGGAGCAATGACACTATTAACAGAAGATCTTTATGCTCCAGGTACCATACATTAACAAGGAGGTCTCTAAGGGGAGCCAGAGGCAGATAAAAATCATAGATCCAGGCGTGGATTTGGGGCTCACACTTAAACCCAGCTCCAATCTAAGAACAATTAGTTCTTATGACATAGCCCTGCCTGAAGGAAGTACAGAAGAGATGAGTGCCATAACAGAGTGTGATGAAGAAATTAGAACAGTATCTGGGGTCTTAAAGGTTTGTTTCCAAGCAAGCAGTCATCTAATTAAGAAATTGCTGAATAGATCGGAAATCTTACATAAATTTACATGACCCTCCATTTAGCTCCCTCCTGCCTCCCAAAGATGTTGACCATTTGTCAATATGTAAATTGACCTCTTGTTAACTCTGGCCCAGAGGCTGCTCTGTGCTGAAGCCCAGGACGTGTCCAGGCAGTCATTCCTGGGAAACAGACCTGTTGTTTACTTTTTTGCTGCCCCACCCTCTCACTGGTGGGCAGTCCCCCCAAGGCTGCCTTGCTGCCAGCCCCCAGCCAGGTAAAGAATCTGGGGAGGTGACACTGATTACTGGCACTGGGGTCAATCAGCTACATTTTTGTAAAACAGAGTTTTCGTTTACGTTTTCCTTTTTTGAACTTAATACACTTGTTAATATGGATGCTCAGCCAGAGGAGGGGAGGTCAGAGGTGCCAGCGAGCCACCCCATCCCTTTATTGCTGTATGATCTGCCCTGGAGCCCTGCAGGCACCTTGACTTCTCTGCTAGCACTCTCCGTTTGAGCCAGTCCATCGTGTGCACTTTCCTTGTCAGGGTGCTGTTGCCTATCAGGGTGCTGTTGGAAGTCAGCATCTGCTTCCCACTCTGATGAGGCTGTGAGAGTCTGACTACCTTGGTAACCGATTCAAGGTTTGATACATTTGTTGTATTCAAAAACTGAAATGTACAACACTATTGTCTGTTTATATTTTTGGAATATTTGTATTATTACAGTTAATAAAGCAGGTTTGAAAAACTCTTACAGGGTGAGGCGAGTATGATACTGGTGGGGAGAGGAGGGCATTACAAATTTAAGAAATGTAAAAATAATTTATTTTTTACTAAGAAGAACGAAAGAAAGGGTACTAAAGGAAGAGTAATTATAAAAACAGAACAAGGTTTTATTTTAAACAAAAGGAAAATAAGGAGCAGGTGTTGCTGTGTGTTTGAAATCTAAGCTTGTTCAGGAGCATTGTAGCTGGTATGGCTGAGAGACCCAGGTGCTTCTGGAGGCAAGCAGGGTGAGGACAGGATGGGTTGAGCAACTGCAAGCAGCATCCAGTAGGAAGTGGCTCCACCCCATCCGATGCTTGGAGTGGCTGGAAAAGGTTTAGGCAGGATATTCGCCTGCAGGCAAGGGGGTCAAGTGCATGCAGGAGTGGAAGGAACAGAACACCAGGCATTTGGGAGATGAAGAGGTCTTTCAAGGCAGCCTGGGGCTGAGCGGAGGTGTGGCAGGCTTGCTGAAGGAGAAAAGGTCAAGTAGGAAGCACCAGGTGGGAGGGAGCAGGTTTCATGCTGTTCCCAGAAGGGCCAAGAGAGGAGGGAGCAGAGCTGGGTACCATCTAGGGGGAGGAAACGGTCCCTCAAGATGGTCCAGGAGGGAGAGGGTGAGATTATGAGCCATCCCAGAGGGCAGCCTGTTGTCCTGCTTGGCCTGTGGTGCTGTCTGGGAGATGAGGCTGGGAGAGTGGGTGGTGCTTAGGCCCCCAGAGGCCTGGAGGGAGCAGTATGCACATAGGTTAGAAAGAAAGGAAGACACATGGGACATTTGAGCCCAGGCTTTTGACTCCTGCACTAGTTGAGGAAGTCTAGGGGCTAGAATATATGATGTGCATATCCCCTGGGGAGCTAGGTGGCCACACAGCCTGTGGTGAGTTCAAGAAGTTGGGTGGGCTAGAGGAAAGGCTAAGTCTGTACATTGGACACATTTACCCTTACATGGGTACATTTACCCTTTCTTTTTGGCCTCTGCCTGCTCCCATTGTCTCTAGATCTGGGGGTAGGAGGAGCACAGGTTACTTACCTATCTGTTCTCCAAGACTGCTTGCACCTTATGTTCTTTCTCTTGATGTTTTCCTCCTGATTGCTGGAGAGGGATTCACTCTGTATTATTTCTTTCTTCTTGTGGCTAGTTATTTCTTTCTTCATTGTTCTTATATTAATTTTTGGAGATAATGGCTTTTGGTGTTGATTTTGGTTCCCTTCTTTGATTTATGTGTTTATTGCTATAAATGTCTGTCTCAAAGGTTGAGGATGCTGTATTTTTGTTTTCATTTGTTACAAGGAATTTTCAACTTTGTTCTTTATCTGTTTAGATTTCATGTATTGTATTTTTTCTTGATATTTCCATTGTTGGTTTCTAATTTTATAGTGCTATGATGTGTTAGGTTGAGTTCTCTAAAGAACCAAAACCAGTGGTGCCTGTACATGTCGTATATAGAAAACAATTCATATCCAGAAATGACGTACACAATGGTAGAAATAGGTAAGTCCAATCTTGTTCATGTCTGGAGTCTCCTGACACGTGGAAGCTGATGAACAGGAAGCAGGCTGATGAAGTAGAGACAGCAGGGGACATAGGCTGGTGGATATAGAGGTCTGAAGTTGGCTAAAGGAATCCTCTCTTGGTAGTCTACTGATAACGCCTGGGATTGACAGGCAAGTTTACTGAGGAATTAGGCACAAGATCTGATTCTGGCAGAAGAAGGCCCAAAGAATATTTGACCCTGCTAGGTCTCTCTCTCTTATACCAAAAATCTTATGACACCCGCAGACCTCTCTATAGGTGCGATTGCTTCATGCCCGTATGTTGCATTCATGTCTCGGTGCATTGGATGAAGTCTGGGCCCTCTCTCCCACTCCTGTGGAGATATAAACAAGACTGCCAGCGATCTTTCAACCCTTATGCTCTTATCTTCTCTAGCAGGAAAAAAAACACTATCTACCCCCCCTCCCCCCAAATCACCTATCTTCAGAAGGAAAAACATTTCCAACTCTTCCTCTCATCTCTAGGACATTCCCTTATTTTGCATATATATATTTTTCTTTTCACCAGATCATTTAAATGTTTGTGGAACAAACGAACCTTCGCTGACCTACTCTGTCCTAGGCGTACTTCACCAATTAGCCACCATCAGTCCTGTGCCTTAAACTTACAAAAGTACTTGTTCCAAACCGACATGGCTTTCCTGGTGCTTTCTTTTGATACTTTTAGTTCTTGAGTTCTACCTTAGTTGCCTGCTTTTATGAATTATTAGACTTTGCACTCACAGCATCTATAAACACAGACGGGTTCTTGAGTGGTGTAAATACTACTATGCTCAGCTGTTAATTACAAACTTGGAAGCTAGAGCCATCCAGATACCCCTCAGAAGAAAGAGCTGACCACCTACTTGTGAACTCCAGCATTGAAGATCTTACAGAGCACAGTTCTCCCCCGACTCACACCGAGTCACCCAGAGCCGGAATCCACTTTAGGGCAACCAGTATAAGCAAAGGTAGCAGCTTAAGGCTTAATCTGCGGCAGCACCAGGGCTCCTTGTGTATATAATAGTCTAGAGGAATGAAGGAAGAGTGAAATTCCATGAGACAGCAAGGTCATTCCTTCAATCTACCACTTGAGTTTTGTTGTTCTTTTTTATCTCAAGTTCTTCTCTTGGCCTTGAATCCTTCTCACTCATCCCGGGGCAGAGCCTCTGTCTGCTTCCTCACCTTGGGCCCAATATTTGAACCCCCTTAAAGCTGGAGTCCTCCCTAAGCATTCTCACTTCAGTGTCCAGTAGATTGGGACATCTGGAAAGTCCGGAGAGGTCTTTGATCGTGTCCATGAACGTCTGCCAGCCAAGAGCCTGTATTTGTATCTAGAAGCAAGGGAGCTTCAGCCCCTGTGCATGATGGATGTTGGTAGTTATTGCGCTGCATGCGTTTTGGAGCTGCTGCATATTCATGAGGGAGGTAGAAAGGCCAGTGTTAAAGGGGAAAAGACAGTAATTCATAAATATTAATAAAGGGAGGGCTACATGCTCCAGGGAAGGCCGGGAATGTTAACGAGAAGATGACGTCTGTGTCCTGCGCGTGCCAGTTGGGGCGGGTGCCCGAGCCAGCCAGCGCGCCCAAGAGCCCGACGCAAGCGCCAGGAGAGGGAGGAGGGAGGAGGGAGGAGGGAGGAGGGACAGGGTAAAAAGAAGAGAGAGGAGCCCATCCCTGCTGAGCTCTCCCAGCCTGGTAACTGGCCGCCGCCCTCTCTGCGCTTCGGCAGGGAGTCATCGCGGCCCTTGGATGGGGCAGTCCGGCTGACCTCGGGATCTGCCTCCCTTTGCCAGGAGCTGCACAGGTGCCATCGGGGGAGAGGGGCGACCTTAGTCTGGACCCCACTACTGCCCGGGGTGGTAGCTGGACGGGAGGCGGTGGAGGAGGCCCGGGGTTCGGGATTGTCCTGCTAGCGATGTAGGGGTGCCGGAGCCCTCACCCTCAGCTCCCTTCTCCAGCCCATCCCGGGATCAGAAAGGAAGAGCTCCAGGCCCACCGCACGCGCATGCGTGTGTGTGTGTGTGTGTGTGTGATTGATTGTATTGGAAGAGTGAGTCGCCACTTCATCCTAGGACTGTTATCTGGCCTGGCCCTCCTTAACGGTCTCTGAGTAATCTTTGACCCCGAGAACCACCCCACCGATGTCCCTCCCCAGAACCACACGTTTCCGCAGGCTCGGGACCGCTGGCGACCGACCGCAGTGGCCGACGCTGCAGGAGCGATTGTTTGACCACTGGAACCGGTCTGAGAAAGGATGAGCGTGGTGGTGTGGGGGTGGGGGGGTGTCCGGCGGGGTGCGCTGCCGCCTGGTGGGTTCTGAACCCCTGGGGTTCGGAGATGCCCTCTAGACCGAGCCCTGCAGGGTGTTATCTCAGGCCCCTCTTCTATTGCGCCTACCCATATTCCCCCTCACTGCTCATCGCCCCCACCCCCATTTCACTCCCGGTCCCGGTCCCTTTGGGCCCCAAGGGCTGTGGAGGGTGTTCTGCGGCCTGCGCAGGGCAATCCTGGCGTCCAGCCAGCTCCAGTCCAGTCATTGTGCTTCCTGGGCAGGACTTTCTTTCCCTCAATGAGCGCGGAGGAGCAAGGGGAGCTGAGATGGAGGTGAAAGGTGCTGCAAATGAACCGGAAAGGGAGGGTGGGGGTGGGGTGGAGGAGAGCTACTACTCCAGAAGGGGTGCCTGCTGACTTATGTTCAATGACAATCCTCCCCTTCTGTCAAAATGCGGAGCAGTCACTAACATGGAATATCGACTGGTGGATCAATGGAGGACAGGTTTTAGGGAGAAAATAGTTGACTATTAGCGAGGGGCACAGACCAATTGGTCTGTGGGGCAAGTAATGGGAAGAGGGGATATGGAATGAGGCCTCTTTGGAGGTGTGGAGGTATCATGAAACCTCTACCTCTTTGGTCGGCTCGGCAAAGCAGGGGGTGGTAATTTGCACTGCAGCCTCAAGCTGCAGCCAGTGCATCATTATATCGCAGGAAGAGGCTTATACCTTCCTGCTGGCTCTGTCTTTTCTAAATTGCACCAGCTATTCAAAGTCCAAAGGAGCCCTGATGGCATAGTGGATTGCACAGTGGGCTGCTAAAGTCGAGGCTGGCTGTTCAAACCGACCAGCCACTCCGCTTGAGAAAGATGAGACTTTCTGCTTCCTTGTAAGAATTCACAGAGTCCGGAAACCCACAGAAGCGGTTCTACCCTGCCCTATAGGGCCTCTATGAAGCAGAATTCACATACTGGCAGTGTTTTTTGACTTTGGATTGGAAATCAAAATCAATATAATTGATTATAGGGCATAATACAATTCCAGGCCTGCACTTTGTTTTACATTGCAGAGAAAAAGAAATGATTAAAAAAAGAAAGGGTGACTCTTCTTTTCTGCTATTTTTCATGTGTTTATTTAAAATTGATTTGTGTAGGATGGAGAAAGAGAATAAGCTATTACTTGTATTAATCGTAGCTTCTAGGGGAGGGGGCCTCTGAGATGGCAGAACGGGCGAGGTTGCTTCAGGAAATTTAGAGGGGAGGGTTGGGAGGCAGGGACAAGAGCAGCCTATAAGATGAAAGAGCAAAACCAAGGGGCTGAAAGGTATGAGGAATGCTAGCCCAATCCAGAGACCTCAGCTTGAGGTTAGGGCAACTGCTTCAGCCCGGTATCTTTCTGCAAATGTTAGGCTCACTTTGGGTGGGATATAAGACCAGCAACAGAGAGTTTCAGTTCTAGTTTCATCCCCAGCTGGTCATTCATGGAGCACTTTTTGCCTCCTAGGTAACGAGTAAAGGTCACATGGTGGGTTAAGGTCAAAGTGGTTCAAGCCCACCAGTCCCTCTGGGGGAGAAAGATGGGGCTGTCTACTCTTGCACAGTTTCAAAAACCCTTTGGAGTTCTGCTCTGTCCCAAATGGGTCCCTATGAGATTTGACCTGGTGGCAGTGGTTTGGGCCTTTTAGATAAGGAATTGATGAAACTAGTCTGGCATATTATGGATGGTTTCAAATGGCCATGTTTCTGAACTCAGACTGTTGCCATCAAGTTCATTCTGCCTCATAGAGATCCTGCGGGGCAAAGGAGAACTGCCCGCACACTTTCCAAGGCCCCAGTGTTCAGAAAGCCAGCAGCTACGTCTATCTCCGTTGGAGTGGCTGATGATTTCGAACTGACTGTCTTTGGTTACCTGTCAAGCACTGAACTGCAACACTAAGGTCCTTTTCTGAGCTTTAGATCTGGATTATTAATTTCGTCTTTTAGAATCTTCTGGATGGATCTATTTTACCCAGAGCTTGCCTGAGCTGAGATTAGATACTTTAGCATAATCTTTCTTTACCAACACTTGAAGTTGGTAAACCATCGATTCTGGTAGGTTTAGGCTCTTGTGCTGGTACACAGCACAGGCTGCAACATTTCAAATCAGTGCCACCACAGGAGTCACCTTTTTATTTGAGCCTCACTTTCTTGTGAAATGCAAGAATTTAAAGAATCTTCAAATATCTCGAATACAAACTGGTTAACTTTTCTGGAATGAAATCAGCAACCCAAGAAATTTTGGTCAAATGAATTGGAAAGATCAGAGTTGCCTTAGTACAAAATATGCTAAAATTCAGCCAGCAAGAGTTCTTCCATTTCACACATATTTTAAAGCTTTGCCCCTGTAGGACATCATGGCAGTAGTAAGGGAAGTTTCCTTTTTATTGCAGCACTCTACCATATACTTCCAGCTGGGGAAGTTGTCCTCATTTTTTAAGAATTGTTGACGTTTATTAGGTACTGTCTGTATTCTACACATTGTGCTTAGTTAGCACTTCAAAGATGGTCTCTTAATCTTCAGGGTCTCAAACAAAAACTCATCCCATCGTGTTGATTGTGCACCATCACAGTAGAACTGCCCCTATGGGTTTCCAAAACTGCAAATCTTCACAGGAATAGAAAAACCTCATCAAGTCTTAACTCTCTACTGTTGAGTAGCTGGTCGTTTTGAACTGCAGACCTTAAGATTAGCAGCCCAAATGCATAACATATTTTGTAACTCACTCCCCTGGAGTCAATTATGACTCATAGTGACTTTTATGCAGAATTCAACAAAACTCATTGCCATCAGTTGATCTCTCCTCATGACAACACTATAGAACAGAGTAGAACTGCCCCGCTCCATGGTTTCTGGGACTGTACTTTTTTGTGTGTGTGAAAATTATAATATATATATTTTTAAAATTATTTTATTGGGCGCTTGTACAACTCTTATCTCAATCCATACATCCATCCATTGCATCAAGCACATCTGTATATTTGCTGCCATCAACATTTTCAAAACATTTTCTTTCTACTTGAGCCCTTAGTATCAGCTTCTCACTTTTCCCCCTTCCTCCTCCCCTCCCTCATGAACCCTTGATTATTTATAAATT